GTTGCGGTCGCTGTGTTCTCGGGCTTTTCGTCTTGATTCCGCGGGTTTTTGAAGCAGCCTGGCTACTGAATCCGTCACACTTTGATGCTGCCTGCGCAGTACAGAGAAGATGGAGCCAAGCTGTAGTAAACACAAAGCCCTGAATCTTAATTGGCCCCCTAAACCCTAAACCCCAACCCCCATAAATTCTGAATCCTGGAACGCCGGACAACCGCCTGAGCCGCGAAGAATGCCCTCAGCCCAAAACTCTGTAAGCCCGGCCTTGCAAAACCTAAGCGTGAACGCCGAGATGCCTTCGAACCCTATGACAGTACAACGTAGTAATGACCTGAGGTATAGGAACGTAAAAATATGATATAACAGAACAAAATATAGAACGTTATAATGTAATATGGCAAGCGGAGCAAAATATGCTATGGCATAGTTTAAGTTAAAGAACGAATTATGGTGCAATGCAATATAATCATACAAGTTAATACAACTTCACATCATAAAACGCAAAACAATATAGTTTACTAGAATACACGACCGTATGGTATAGTATAGCAGAACCTAATCACAAGATAGCACGATATAGTAGTTTGCAACATATGATTTGATAATATGCTATCATATGATATGTGCTGATATGGTATATCTGGATAACCTGATACAGTATAGCAAAAATCCAACACTAGATAAGACAATGCAGTATCATGCAACATAAGATGTGAATTGTCACCGCATGAGATGTTATGATATGGTATGGTATGATATGGCATGATAACCTGATACGGTGTGAAATACAGTTTAATATAGACATAGTCTCATAAACACAAGCATATAGACACAAACTCATGGAATAGCGCATACCGTATTGTCACAAAATCTAAGATGATGTAACATAATGTAACATGATACGGTGAACTGCACTATAGGACAATATCGCAGAAGATAATATGTACCGTCATACATGGTAGTATGCACATGTCTATGTGTATATATATATATACACATATGTATGTGTGTGTACATTGAGCAAGATATGCAACAACATGTAACAATATGCACCAGTATGCTAACATAAGTATGTATGTATGTATATATATATATATGTATGTGTGTATATATTATATATATATATATATACATGTATGCATGTAT